TTTGAGCACCATTGTTACTTTACTAAAAGCGAGGTCTCGGTCACAAAAAAAAAACCATTGTTGGTTTACCTTTTTTGGAGAACAATTCATCCTGTTACATAGTACGCGTTTTACATCGATTTTTTTTTTATTTGGTTCATAGTGCAACTTCCTAACGCACGTAGATACTTTACTTTGCCGCGATACTTTCCTTTTGCAACACGAAATTTACACGTAAAATCTGAAATACAAAGAAAATGTTTTGAAATTAATAAAGATTATAAGGCAAAATTTAAACATGCCACATATTGCAATTTCGATCAAATGTCATAGTTTACTGCGTTGTAGAGTAACTCTGGTAAATACGCCGCGCTGGGATTTACGCCGCAGAAGTAGAAAGAAAAAATAGAAAAAAATAGAAAGAATGGGAGTAATTTTCCCATTTTATTCTGCCTTTATGTTATATTAATATAGTGTTATGATTTCAATTTCTTATTGTTAATATTAATGAAATTATTGTGAGTTGAATCGATTTGTGTCACTGTGTTAAGTAGCGTCATAAATTATAATCTACATAAAATGATTACTATAAAATATGCAAAAAACTTAGTGGTTATTTCGTGTATATGAATGTAAAGGAATAGTAAAACATGTTGTATAACAAATACTTTGTTTTTTCTTTGTTAGTTTGTTGTGTTGTATATCCCACCTGTTTGGGATATACGGGCATTTTTAACAAGCGAGATTTATGCCCAAAGTATACAAAGTGCGCAGATTAAATTCAGTTCACTAAATACAATAAACGCATTACATGAAATATATACCTCGTATCATCAACACTTATAACACATGTGGGAAGATTGTAATTATTATTTATTACTTTATATACATATTTATCATTCTTATTCCTTAATAAAACTTTATAAACGCATTTTATAAGTTATTGTATTATTTTATCTTATTTATATGCATTATTTGTAAATTTTTCATACATATCCTTCCTCCCTCTATATAACCCCTATGGGATATACCCCTATGGACAAAAATGCAAGGGTTTAAAAAAGTTAATTTTTTAATGCGAAATATAAATATTTCAGATTTTTAATTTTTTTCATAATAATACAGTTTTTCATAATAACAGTACAAAGTTTTTACTGATATAGTTCGTTTACTAAACATAGTAAATAATACTTAATAAATTAAGTTTCTGATAGGTGCGGCGTATATATTGGAATTACCCTGTATGTGCTCAACTTTAAAGCTTTCACGGAGTTCAAAAATTGAATACGACACGCTACGCTAAAATTTTAAGTACATAACATAATTATAAGTACATAACTATTGGAATGTCCGGAAAGTTCGTGCCGCAAAAGATTTAAATTTAATAAATGTATACTAAAATTTAAATCTGCGTTTCAATTTTCCTTCAAAATCGGCACGAACTTTCCGAACAACCCAATATTAAATAATTAACGCAACGTAGACATTATTTTTTAATAATAATTATTTACTAAAATTAATGGTCTTACGTATATAAATCTTAGATGTACATTCTCGTTTTAAATGCACTTTTTATATTATAATTTTATTTTTTACTTAGAGCTCAAAAATTGAAGTATTTGATTAATTTCTACATTTGAATAACATTGTCAATCTCGATTTTATGTCTCTTGATTCTACATTTCTGCATATTAAATGACTTTTCATAATGCTTGTTGTCGATATAATAGTTACCGATTAATTAAAATTATGTAAATTATTACGTAGAAATATACTAAAGTTACTTCATTCGAAGATTATTATGTGCAGCATATGCTTTAATAACATGAGGATACTCAATCTTTGCACCAGATGCCGGAAACATTCTCTGTGTATGTATGTGTAAATAGCTTTACGAGCAGATTGAAACATATTGGAATATTGATGAAATAAACGGCTCGATAACGAGCTGTACTCACGCCACGTTATAAAATATCAAATTGATGAAAACAACTTTCATATTGAAAGTAAATGTTGTCGAATCGATCATTATTATGAAAATTTTATGAAATGTTCGCATGTCATGATAATCGTATTTTCTTTGAATCGTATTTTCTATGTTAAGAAATAATCATTTTTTATGTTAAGAAATAATTTGCATAATTGGCATTGATTAATAATCGACAATTGTTGAAATCGATTGTAATTAATTATTTAAGAAGTTCCTTATCCAGATAAATAATTCAAATTTTGATAAAAATAGGGCTATTCGTTATTAACTTATATATTTGTCGTTCCATGTATATAAGTGACATATTGTTGTCGTAAATATAAGATTTTATTCTTAAATTTCAGTCTTAAAATCTTGTTTTACACAAGATTCGCGTCAGCATCCGCTATTCTTTGGTTTATCCATCTATTTTCGTCGATATATTTCTGCAGTATACTCTCCCTATCTTGTAGGGTAAATGTTTTATAACTGGCCGGCGTTAAAGCAATATCTAGCAGCGATCCTCCAATCTGTTATATGTATCTGTTATATCTTCCTCTCAGCCTTCTGTATTTATTACAGAAAGCTCGTCACGAAGTTATCTCCTTGACACATTTTTCATCATCTTCCTCTATCAGGTTTGTTAGAATAAGGATTTATATTAAGCGTCTTCTACACATGATATGGATATATTTAGGTACACAAGAATTGAGGAATGATCGATCTTCAATATACACGAACACTCTCTCACTTCCTGTTTCCTTATTAATAAAAATATCAAATGTACATTTGTATCTGACAAATGACATGCATAATATTTCAAATTCTGTCGAAGACAACTTTCAAAACACGACATGACTACATAAAACTTAAAATGAAAACAAAAATTATACGTACGTTAAATTTTTTTATTGTGTAATAAGCTAATAACTGTTTCATAAGACTCTTGATGGTAGAATGCGCGTCCGAGTTTCAACGTTATAGAAAGAATTGGATGTGTACACAATTTATTACAATATATTTCATTAGAATTCAAAGTATCATTTTCTCAGATTTTTTTTATATTCAATTTCATTTTTTATATATATATATATATATAAAACTTTGTAATTAAAAGAAGCACATAAATCAGTAAACAAAAGCGGTATCAGTTGGTAAATAAGTTAAAGATTAATAATATAATTAATTGCATTAATTATAAATGACAAATAAAAAATGACAAATTGTAACGAATTAAATTATTGTTACGATTAGGTGCTGGATCAATGAGGGCAATTATATGAACGCGCTGATTTATCCCGTATGCGTTTCCACTTTGTTGAATCTACTTTTCCTGTTTAATATCGTACGAGTTCTTCTCATGAAGTTACGTGCCGGTCCCGCCATTGGAACGCGCCCTTCACGATCTATGCTGCAAGCTTTCAGGTAGTTGAATTTTTCACTTTCTGTATGCTACCTTTCATGTCAAATTGTACATTGACATGACGGCGCAAAAAAAAGAATAAAACAAAGAGCATAACGAACGTATTCCTTTCTACAGAAATTTACGGAGCATATACGGTGCAATTTTTTAATCACGATAAATTATTTGCGTTACTTTTTATAAACTTGTCAACTTTCACTTAACAATACTATTAACAATATTACAGTTTTTTTTTCATTAATAAAAGTAATATAATTTAGTAATTTAAGTAAAATACTAACAATAAAATTAAAATGACAATAATTATTCTTCCGAAAAACTAATGACGATAATTATTCATAATATTCGTAATATATTGTATGATCCAATCTATCTGATGTCTTGTTGCCAGGGCCACATTACTTTTAGTGCCCCTCTTGGGCCTTCACTATTTAGTAATTCCATTTCGGCCGCCAAAAAATCATCCTTGGGAGAATTTTTATGAGGTTCTTTCAGCAATCACCGCTTCTTTCCAGGTTGGTACTTCCGTATTTTTGCGTATTACTTTAAAATTAAGAACAAAATGAAAGAATGAAAGTAAATTATATATACATTGTATAATATAATGAATGCGTCTGGAAATTGTATTGCGCATTGTGACACATGTTTCGAACAGACATCGAATCAGATTGTAAAGCTTATCGTGCATCGGAAAGCTTCATGAATTTAATATGCACTTTATCACAACCTATTCTTTCCTACGTTTCAATGCTTTCGTTAATGTCAAATTAATTTTAATTATATTATAGAAATTCTTCACATAACATATAAAATTCTATCTCGCATATGAATAAATTAACAAAGTGAATTTTGTTTCTCGTTAATTTAGAATATCGAAATACGTATAGGATTACAAATATAATCAATCTGATGAATACAGTGTTTTCTATGATATATATATATATAT